TAACACCGTTAGTTCTGGACCCACACACCCATTGCATGGGGCCCACCAGTCACCCCTCTTCTTTTTTTTTTCTCCTTCCTCTTCTACCTTCTTCCTCCTCCCCTTGACGGCTCCTCTCCTGGCTCCTCCCATGAGCCCCTCGCTCTCCCTCCGACGCTGGCTGCCTCCCCAATTCCTCCCGACGCCGTGCCGCCTCGGCTCCACCCGGCGCTTGGCGCTGCCTCCCGACTCCTCCCGGCGCTCCCTCCCGGCTCCTCCCCAGCCGCCCCTCCCCTCCCGGCCGCCTCCTCGCCGCCTCGTCGGCCGCTCCTCCTCCCTCCCTCAGAAGCCGCCGCTCCTCTCGCCCGCAGCCCGCGTCGAAGCGCTCTTCCAGCGCAGAGACGGACGCTGTACAGTAACGGACGGACTTAACGTCCGTCGATGCAGTCGATGCAACGTCCGCCGAGGGCTAAGGGCCGGGGCTCGTCCGCGTCGGAGGGCGGGGACCGGGAGCCGAGGTCGCACTGAGAGCCGCGCCATGGCCAAAGCATCCGGACATCATTTGGCGCGGAGGTCGCCCATGCTTGGCGATGGAGAAGCATCCGAGCAATCCGCGTCAAGCGCCGCCAACGGAGATGCAACGACGTCCATCGGGTCGAGATGATTTCTCCGATTTGGAGGTACCCAACGAACCCGCATCTAGAGAGAATATACCTTGTGCGGGATGAACCCAACCCACTGATTCTAGAACCAAACAACAGATCATCTGGGACGAACCCGGGATATCCCAGTTGAACCCGCAAACCAAACACATGGTTAGTTTACCTCTCCGGGTTCGGCGCGTGCTCGAGGACCGTGCTCATCGCGCCAATGTATCTTCGCTATCGTCGTTGGGAAGGCATCCCCTCATCTCGAGGTGGAGGCGGCTCGGGAAGGAAGCCAAGCTGATAGGCACGCCCTTGTCGAGGCCTGAGCCGAGGCGAGCGGACTCGGGGTGCAGGTGCTTAGCGTTCACAAATCACAAGCAGCCGCAGAAGCTACCTGCCTCAGTATCACGAGCTCAGAGCTCCTCCTCTGATGTGGCCTCTGCTCCGCAGATGTCGACCTTACAGTAAGCGACCACTGGCGAAGCCAGAGCCAAATATACGAGGGGTGCGAGTAAAGTTTAAACTTTTATCAAAATTTTAGATATAATTCGTAAATTTTGGCGGTTTCATGATTTTTTTAAATATCATATTTTATAAATGCTACCATATCCTATAACACGAGTTTGTACATATCTTGGTGATTTTTTTTTTCTAAGAGACCTAGATAGAAGTGTGCCCTCATATACACGAGCGCACACTCATCCGTATAAACACAGGCACATACACTTTAACCCTATAAACACCTCTGAAATACTAAGTTGGACTGGCAAATCTCGATATTGATGAACTCATCGCAGATGTCTCACTATTGACGGGCACATCTTTTACCAGTGAAGAAGTGGGACGGGCATGTCCACATGTATTATTTGTCATGGCTCCGACTGCTCGCTATAGTGCACGAAGGCACCCGAGCCGGTGAAACAAAAAATAGTAGTTCTAGTGACTCCTTTAGTTCATTTTAATAATATAGATAGAAATGGCTTTCTACTAATAGTAGACTGAGGAGCCAGAGTCTGACCTTAATCTAGTTGAAGCTCTATCGAATGGAAAAACAAAAAAAAAGATGGGGTGCACAATTTTATTTTCGGTATATGATTTTGCACTGAAGCTAAAATACAAAAATGTGAGAAAAGCTAAAATACGTTGGTTTCAACAGTGGAGTAATATACTTTTTGCATGTAACTATTAGGACTTTGGCTTTGTTTAATCAAGCATATATGATAGCTGGCATGGGATTAAAACTCTTCTTTTGCCGCTCAACCTTGGTTTGCTGGATCTGTGGGTGCATTATTTTTTGGCAAAGGGGGTGCACATGTGGTAAAAAAATGATAGTTAGCACTAAGTTTTAATTTTGACGTGCACCCACTGTCACATACACAGCGGTCCTGTTCGCTTCTCTTATAATCTGTACTTTTCAGCTTATTTTTTTAGCCGAAACAATATTTTTCTCTCACAACAAATCAGCCGGAACAGTATTTCGGCTTGTTTTTTTTCAGCCAAGCGAACGAGGCCAGCATCGCCTAGCGATCCTCGTGGAGCGCGGCCGCCGCGCATGGTCAGGAACGAGCCTTCGGGCACGGCGCCCCTGTACTCGAACACTTGTAGATCTGAGGAGTCGACGGCGACGATCGTTCGGCTGTGGCAGCAGCGGAGGGCCAGCCTGTGAAGGCGGGCGCCGCCTCCGACGGTGGAGAACGCGATGACCGCGCTGCAGACCTCAAGCGTCAGTCAGGTCGGCGAGGCGCGGGCAGCAGCGACAAGCCACTCCACGTCGATCGCTCCCAGGTCGGACACGTGGGACAGGAGCAGAGTCGCTAGGGACGGCAGGCTGACGGTGTCGGGCGGGGCGAGCCGGCAGGAGCTGAAGAGAACAATACATATTTTCTTTTGTTGGTGATGAGTGCGCCGCCGGAGGACGCCTCCATTGTGCCCGCTTCAATAACCTCCTAGTATATATCTAATCGATTATCGGTGATATTTTTTTCACAAAAAATCAGAGTCGGTTTTTTATGATCCACAAAATGCGCCAGCGCCAATCCTCCTATGCGCGAGACCCGTACAAGACGAATCAAGATCGCATCACAACACCGCTGACGAGACGATGACGATGGGCGGCGGCGAGGACCGCTTGTCGGACCTCTCCGACGACCTTCTCCGGCGCATCCTCTGCTTCGTCCCCTCCAAGGAGGCTGCTTCCACCGGCGTGCTCTCAGGGCGGTGGGGCTCGCTCTGGCGTTCGTGCGGCGCCGTCAACCTCGCCGTGCAAGCCTACGACTACATCTTCGACAGGCTCTTCGTATCATTCCTAAATGTTAGGAATAGAGATTTTGGTGAAAAACTAAATAGTTATCTAAGGCCCCGTTTGGCACGGCTCCACTTCACCCATGAAGCCCTTTTTTGGGGCTTCAGCTCCACGAACAGCTCTATGGGTGGAGCTGTAGCCATTTTAATAAATCGTTTGGCAAAACAGCTTTACATATAGTTTTTCTTAAAATATGCTCTCAGAGAACGCCATGTAGAATGAGGTGAAGCCGAGAGAAGCCACTATTTTTGGCTTATTCCCACTCTAAAGCTCTGTGAGAGCACGTTTTTAGGGGCTTCATCGGTGGAGCCGTTTTATTTTACCCCGTTTGACAGAAAACAGCTCCAAGCGGCTCCTAAAGCCGTTAGAGAAACCCTGTCAAACGAGGCATAAATATAGCTATTTTTTATTTCGAATTTTTTCTAGCGAAAAATAGAATACAAGAATAGCTCTCTACACTACGTATGGATATAGAAAAATTATTGAAGTGTAAAAAGATATAGAAAATATTTTTTATACAAATGATTCTATAGATGATGGTCTAGAGTGAGATTTAGAGAACCTCTCGGACATGCTCGGTACGACGGAACGTACTCCTCGTACGAAGAAACAGAGGAGACCGCCTTATTGGCCCAAGAGGCGTTCGTCCACGCCGCCAAGGGCTGCGCTCGACGCCGCCGAGGTCCCCATCACAAGGCTCACCCTGCGCGTGGGGTCCACTGACGGGGAAATCACCATCGAGCAGTTTCTGCCGCGGCAGGGGCGGCTGGCCCACAGACGATGCCAACGTGGTCGGCGCTCTACAGCGTGTTTTGGTTCACGCGACGGAATGGTGCCAGACGATCCGAGCGCTCTTGGTGCCGTTTGGTTCGAAGCATCGGTGCACCAGCAGGCAAAAGTCACGGACCACCTCGGACGAGCACATTCTCGAAGTAAGGATGGCAACGGGATGTACCTGTCGGGTATCGTCGGAACGTTCTCTTCCCCGCTACGGAGAATTCATCCCGTCCCCGTTTCTGTTAACTGTCTCGGGTATAGATTCTTGTCCATCCCCGTACCCGTCAGGTATCGGTCGGGTAACAGATACCCGACGGGTACTGCATACCCGATAAACAAGGACACTTGGGGTCGTAGCTTTGTAATCGGAGACGTTTCTTCTTCACCCAGGTATAAGTGTCGGAGTCTCGGAGATGCCGAGGAGAAGGAGCGAGGTTGCGAGGAGGACGAGCAAAGGTGACAAAGAGACCAAACTGAGAAAGCGAGGGGCACGAGCGCTCGTGAGGCAGGCGTGCTTGTGCTGCTGGCGGAGATGGTGAGGAAAAATTGAACTAGGGTTCCTAGAACACATAAACTATATATATGATTGTTCAGATTTGGACCAAAATACCTATGTTGAGCTTCTTTGGGCATAATACTCGCATGACAGCTCAAATAGTTGGGTTCCCCAACGGGTAACGGGGACGGGTAAACAGAGAACGTTCTTGTACTCGCTATACCCGTCGGGGATGGATTCTTGCCCATTTAGGCCCTGTTTGGTTGGGCTTTTGGCTTTGCCTTTTGGCCCCAAAAGCCAAAAGCCCAACCAAAGGGGCTGCTTTTGGAGGGTGCTTTTTCAGAAGCAGCTGCTTTTCCGTAGTTCATTTTTGAAAGCTGGTTTGACCCTGCTTTTGGCTTTTGGCTTTCTGCTTTTCGAAATTGGTGGAATAAAAAGCTCTTCCATAGTTGTTTCAAGAGAGATAAAGATAAAAGGTATATTTTATACTTGTTTAACCAAACAGCTTTCAGCTTTTCTACAGCTCACAGCCCACAGCAGCTTTTCCACAGCTCACAACCCACAGCAGCTTTCTCCCACAGCCACAGCTCAACCAAACAGGACCTTAGATACCCGCGGGTAAAGATATGATCTCATCTCCATCCCCTAATGGATCAAATACCCGTCAGATATCAGGTATCAGGGGCCGTTGTCATCTTTATCTCGAAGCCAATGTTCACTCCACTCCACTAACCAAATACAGTCAAAGCATCACCCGAACCAACAAGTAATTATGACATTCTAGATCACTCCATTCCGGATGGGATACTCCCCCAAACCAGACACGCTACTAGTCTCCCACCAAGCGGCGCGCCGTGTTGAGGAGCTCCGCGTCGCCGCCGTCGACGTCTCCTCCGACGGCGCCTTCCTTTACCTTGAGAAAGAGAACCACAGGCACACGGGGATCTATGGGCTCGCCTCCCTCCCGTCGTCGGAGACCCTCCGCGTGCTGGACCTCACCAGTCACCAGGTGTACCCTGACGGCTGCCTTCCCACTCCCACGGCTGGTGACGTTGCGGCTAAGGTACTGCGCCGTTGAGTCCAAGGTTCTCCAGGCCCTGCTGGACGCCGCGCCGGAGCTCACCACCGTGCCACTGGAGTCTCTCTTCTTCTTGTTGCCTCCGGACTTCCAGCAGACCACGGCAGAAGCAGCAGCACAAGCAGAACCACTTGTGCCCGTGCTCCGCCTGAGCTTCCAGGCCGTGACCACGCTCGTGCTGTCGTTGTGCGGCAAAGAATCAGGGGATCGCCGCCGCGGCAATAGCAGCTGGGCAATCGAGATCGATGCACCGAGGCTACAATCCTTCAAATACAAGGCTCTCATGCGACGATTCAGGCTACGACCGGCGGCGGCACCTGGCGTTGTACGGGTGGTCCTGCACTTCCTCCGGGACTATAACAAAGACGATGACAAAGAAACAAGACGCGTGCTCTTCTGGCAGTTCCTGCACAACTTCACCAATGCCAGGACCCTCAAGCTCAAGGTGGGAAACGACCTCAAGGACATCGCCGCCATTGGCGAGGCCAGGCACGCCAGGCTCCTGCAGTGTGCGTTCCCTAGCCTGGAGCGCCTCGAGCTGGAAGGGATGCATCGTCCCAAGATCAAGACGGCGGCCGTGGCCATTGCCAACTTGCTCCATTGCTGCCCTGCTCTTGGTGAAATCATGCTGAAGCTGAGCAATACTGTGACGGCTCTCCCTGACAAGGACCCACGATATGGACGTGAGTTCTTAGAAAGGAAAGATAGATTGGACTGCAACAAGTCCATCGATCGCTTCGTGCGCCGGAAAGGATCAAAGACAGCCTTGGACTGCGTTCTTGAAGATGTTCCTGATATCCCTGGACTCAGTGGCCGCTCGTTCGCCTGCTTGCAACGCACTCTGGGAAGAGTCAGCATGCAGTTTCGACTGGACAACAACTCCATCTCCAGCTGCCTTGGACTGCGGCTTATCAAATTCTTCACTGACCATGCAAGCGTTCTTGAAGAAATCTGTGTTGATACTGGCAACCGGAGACTGAACGAGCACCTCAACTTCAATATGGCAACACAGATGGCACTCGCACCTATACCAATCTCAGCCACAGCTTCTTGTATCCAGAACAAGAATCTGGCAGATAGTTCCTCGGAATTTTCCAGAAATCACAGTGCATCCCTTGATCCCACAAAAGACCTTGCCCGGAGTACAGTCAGCTTTAGGGTGTTACCCCTTCAAAGGCAAACAAGGATGGACTGCAAGTCGCAAACTAAGATAAGAGATGTGTCATACAGTGATCCAAGATATCATGAGTAAACTGCTTATTTCTATATTGGTTTTATTTTGTAAGAGGCTTGTGAACAAGAAATACATTTTTATGCTCCTACGATTTGCAAGATTGTGTTGACAATGTGCATGCATGTAGATGATAGCTTTTACAGGCTGCTTATATCCTTTGGCCAATGTTGGGCTTGGAAGTCAAGAACACAACAGAAGAAAACTTAAACGAAGCTTTTAGCTAGAACACTGCTGTGTGATAGTCATCATGAGTTACGGTTATGGTGGCTCTAAGAAAAAAATAGTGTAAATCTAGCAAATAAAACAAAAGGTTTGATGACCATCGTCTTGGGAAATCACTGTTATGTTATTGTTTGGGTGAACATAAATCTATATTATACTCCCTCCGATTCATCCCATGATACATGTAAGTTTTCCAAATATAAGGACTTTTGAGATATTGGTCCTTGATTAAGGCCTTGAGGGGGCACGGTTAGTTGAATATGCATGCATTATTAATTGTATATAGTATAACGCATTTCAAAAATTTGAGACAGTTTAAAGAAATACTCAAATGACGTATATATTCATGGTTTAAACCCAATTAAGCAATTTTTCTCAAATTATGATTTCCTTTTTAACAAATATTGCTAACTCTAAGCATGGACACCACATAGAATGCATTATATTTTAGTACAAATTTTAGAGATCATAATTACACTGTATTTTAGGCAGCGGGAGTATGTTTAGTTTTGGCGCTTGATTCAGTGGTATGCATTAATTGTGCCTCTTCCTCTTGATCATTGGTTGATGGACATCACAGTTGTTTCTCTTCTTCCATCAACTAGCAACTTGCTAAGGAACGAGACAAATTTGAGGGCTCAAATGTTCACTCGATAATATACGCCGATCTAGGCTCAACTAATGTGGTAGGTTAGAAAAAAAAATGCGAGGATGACCGGTAACGTGCCTTTTCTGCTGACATCCAGTTCTTTTATCTCCACCCCAGGAATGGACACGATGTAGGTAGCGAGGTTGGGATGGATACTAGCTAGAGCGTCTTTGTTTAGTGGACCGTTGGACACATAATATCACGACTAAAACTAGTCGTAACATTTTGGTTAGTTTCCAAATCCATCGTGGCAAAATTGAGTATGGTTGGTATTTTGATTTCCATCGGCCACAAAGAGCTGATAAAGTTTGGTAAAAATATGTTGCAAGTGTTTGGTTTGTAGCTAGATTTGAAAATAATGCTAACCTCCATCAATTAAACGGTACGCCTGTTTTTTAGTAAGAAAAAAATTCTACGAAACAGGAGAGAGAAAAAAAGCAACCAAAAAATTAAAAAATAGAATACGGAACAGTGGATGAACAGTGCATGTGAAAAGGGGAGGGGAAACAAAAAATGAAACAGCGGATGAACAGTGCCTGTGAAAGGGGAGGGGAAATAAAAATACAAATTAAAATGAAACAGTGGATGAACAGTGCCACCTGCGTGGAATGCGGGGGAGGCCGGGGTTCCTAGGCGCTTAGACTGTCTCTAATAACACAAGCTAAACGCAAAATAGATCATCTACAGTGTATCAAAATCACGCTCCAATGGATGACCCAAACAGAGGACGCATTTTGCGTTCGAACCGAACCGAACCGAAACGCAAATAAACGTGTCGAGAGAGACGACGCAAATCTCTAAAGCCAGACGTCGAAGGTGCCGCTCGCGGTGGGGACGGAGGCGGCTTGCGCGGCGCCCCCTCCCGGCAGCAGCAGCAGCTGGCGCAGCACCACCGGCGGCCCCTCCCCTCTCTCTTGCCTCCGCTCCTCCCTCGCATCTCTCTCCCTCTCTTTGACTTCCCTCCATTTCTCTCCCTTCCCTCCCGAAGCAGCGACGCGGCGACGGGAGCGACGCGGCGGCGCCTGCGCCTGCTACGGCCGGCCCCCCTCCCTTCCTCCCACCCCCCACGCGGGCGGACCCCCGTGGTAGCGCTTCTAGTGTTTCTTGAGAGAGATAAAAAAAAACCTATGATTTTTATGGTGTATTTGCTATGATTTGGTGTGGGAATGAAAGCCCAAATCCTCCTTTTCTCCTCCGGGATTTATCATTCTTGCTTGTGATTTTCGTTCTTCATTGTGCTCTGTTTTTCGTTTCTGGGAAGGATTTGGGTTCTTGGCTGTGATCTGAAATTAACGAAGTTTGAGTTGGGTTCGAGCCATGATTCTGCTGGGATAGCTCACCAACATCATGGAGATCACCTGTGCGAGATTTGGGGCCGAGTTGTTTTGATTTGGCTCGGTTTTCGTCGATTCTCTTGGCCGCCCGTTTCCTTTCCCTTCTTCTGTTCGTACGAGTCCATCCTGTTCATGCTTTCAGCGTTCGTGGTTGGTGGCTGTGCTACGAACCCAGCTCTGAGCGCTTGAGTGTCGTGCGCTCGTTCCCTCGCTGCTCTTATGCACAACGCGGGGAAGACGAAGATGGAGGAGCAAGCGGCACCGGACGGAGGAAACTAGGAGTCTTGTTTTGGGTTCGCTATTGGAGAAGGAAGATTTTTGGGTGCGTGACCGTTTCTTGTACGTGACTCAAATCTTAGGATAGGTCTCGTGTTTGCGTTCCTGCCGTTGGAGACAGTCTAAAGACAGTAGTTATGCGCGTGTCCTTTTGTTCTTTTGACGTCTTTTCATGGAAAAGACATTCATATATTATATGGGCAGTGCTACCCACCACATGCGCACACGGATAAAGTGCCGCACGCACGTCTCTTCTTCCTCGCCCCCTTCTTTCTGGTCCCGCTTGTCTCATTCTTCCTCGCCCCGTCCGACTCCGGACAAACTACACTCGTCGCCTCATCCCCCACGCCTCTAGATCTGGCGACGTGCCCTCACCGTCACCCTTGTCCCCGCCCCCACCACCTCCCACTGCCCCGGCGCCCACCGGCCCGCCGTGGCCATGGAGCTCCGGCGAAACCCTATTGTCGGCAGTGACCTCCTTTCCCCCCCTAACCCTTCCCCCACCCTCCCACATGTGGCCATGGTGAAGTCCGGCCATGGCGCGCCCTGGCCCGGCCGCCACTGTCACCGTCAACTCCCCTAAACCGCCCACTGGCCATCCCTACCGCCTGACCGTTCTACCTCCCTGGCCAGCCCCTTCTATACCCGTCGAAGTTGGAGAAGAAGGGTTAGCATGGCTCGCCGGAACACTAGGCGTCGCCAGAGTTGGAGAAGGCACGGTCGGGTGAGGCCTCCGGTGTGGTGCGGCTCGGACGTGTTGGGGAAGAAGGCCCATCGGACTTCCACACCCCTGCAACCGCACAATAGAGAGGGTGTGCACGTCGAGACTTCCGAGCGTGCGCGCTCAGAAGTTAGCATTCCTGATATTATATTTATGTCCACAATGGTCATCGTCAAAAGAAAAAATAACGGTAATGCTTAGGAGCGGGCGTCTATCAGTGCGGACGTCGTTTTTCGGGCCTGCGCATACTAGCCCAACTGGCCTGCTTACTCTTTGCGTCTCCCCATCTCTCTCTAAAAAATGTCTCCCTATCGCATGATGTTGTGTCGCGCGCTCGTTGCTGCCATCTTCCCCACCGCGCACCCCATCTCGCGCCGTGCGGCTCCCCCATCCAGCGCCGCGTCCTCTCCATCGTCGCGCCGCGCTCCATCCCCCACTGTGCCCCGTCCCTCGCGCGCATCGAGGTGTTGCTGTGGTGGTGCCGACGCCGCCATTCCCCATTAGAAGGTTGTGGCCACTGTCGACACCATGGCCGCCGTGATGCGCGACCTCAGCAAGGAGATGTTGCGATGAAAACTCATGTTGCAAGTGTATGTTTTAAGTGTTTCAGACGTTTCAGTGGTATATTGCTATTGTTTCATATGGATGTTGCAAAAGTAGATCAGTGGGGTGCTGTATATGTTGCAAGTGTTTTAGACGTATGTTGCAAGTTTAGAGGTTTGTTCAAAATATTTCATCTGTTCCAGATGTATGTTGCAAGCGTTCTGATCTGGATGTTGCATATGTTGCAAAACAATATGTTCCAAATGTTTCAACTACTCTCAGTCTTATGTTGCAGTAAGTGTTTTTATGTTGCAAGTTGCAAGTGTTTTTATCTGAATGCTGCATATGTTTCACACATATATTATAAGTGTATGTTCCAGATGTTTCATTTGTTGCATACGTATGTTGCATTCAAGTGTTTAATATTTGCACATCTTTCATATTGTTCGGAGAGTCAGGATGCGCGGGGAGTGATGGTGGCACGGCGCGGACATCGGGTAATGAGGCGCGGCGAGCTGGGGGCCAACGAACGGGGCGAGTTTGGGGCCGGCAGTCGGGGCGCGATGGGGGCGGGGTGTGAGTGCGGGGCGGGGAGGGGCGAACAACCTGGAATCGAGGCAGATAGGGCAGGCTGCTAGTGCGAGGCGAGTCCTCTAAACACGCAGACGCTGTGACAGGGCGGGGTGCGCATGTGGGGCGAAAAAAATCAGTGGATGAAGGCAGGCTTTGCACGCGTCTATCCGGACGTTCAGGCACTAACACCTTAAAAAAAAGAAGTCACGGGCTTGGCTAGGCACGCAGCGATGACACCATATTGTCAGCTAAGAGAAATTATTTTGTTGATGATGGATGATGGAAGAACCGACTTCGTCCGATTTTTTTTAATTATACGCCAGCTTTGCCCGAAAGATGGCCACGAAACACATGCTCCCTCCATCCCTAAATATCGGTCGTTTTTGTTTTTCGAAAAATAACTTTGACAAAAAATATATATAAAAGAAATAATTTTGACAAAAAAATAAAAATATTAATATTTACGGTACATAATTAATATTATTAGATAGACATTTGAATCTAGTTTTGTAATAAATTTATTTGGAGATATAAATATTACACATATTTTCTACAAATCTCGTTAAACTTTCGGCATGAAAACCAAGGAGTATTTTCTTCGACAGACATGTGAATATTAACACCTGACAAACTTAGGTCAGTCAGTGGGAGTTTCATGGCTCTGTTTCTAAGACTCTCTGATATTGAAAATAGTGTAAACAAGTTTCATCTCTCATAAAACTCATTTCATCCCATAAAACTATTTGCATCTCTCTTTATTTAAACTATGGCACCTCAACTTTTTTAATCCGCGTGAAACTCTCATTGACGCTGATGAGACTAACTCATCGTAGGCCATATTTAGATACATATGTATCAACTTCAATTCATATATGTTGAAGTGGAATAAAATAAAACTTAGTTTAATTTTACTCTAATTCACTTCTACCCGTATGAATTGAGATAAACGCATCGAAACAAGGCCGTAGGTGTGTGCTCGTGGCCGAGGGCAGTGTCTCTCGAATGTGCGCATGCTTCCGAAAGGCCAATACGGGTCAGTTTCGTCTGGAAACCGTGGCGTAAAACCTTGGCAGGTAGCAAACGCCAAGGCCGCCTCCTCGTCCTCCCCAAGCGCAGCCGTTTTCCATTTCTGTTCAAGTTCACGCCGCCACCGCCTGCCGATCCGCCCATTCCGCCGCAACCCCTCTCCCGTCGCCGCGCGCCTCAGCCGCCCGTGGCCCGGCCATGGAGCGCGCCGCCGGGGAGGCGGGCGCCCACACGCCGGCGGCGAGAGGGGGAGCGGCAGCGCCAGCGGGAGCGGGGGCAGGGGATGGGGGAGGGATGGTGAAGGGGAGGTCCTGCAAGGGCTGCCTCTACTACTCGTCGGCGCTCAGGTCGCGAGCGCGCGGGCCCGTCTGCGTCGGCGTCACCCGCGCCATTCCCCAAGGTAGCCGCGCCCCTCTCCGGACACTACTGTATCCACCCTCTCTGCCTGCGCTAGGGTTTTGCTGATTCGGCCAGCCACAGTATCCAAAGCCCCCCTCGCTTTTACCTGCATCCCTCTGCTGCGCCCCTGCGAGTGTCGACCCGCTGGGTAGTGGTTTGCTCTTGATTGCCTCTCGGTGCTCACTCCGCTCCTGCTCTTGGTTGCCTCTCGGTGCTCACTCAGTGCCTGCGAACCGCTTCCCTGTCACAGGGGGTGTTCTGCTGAATACCGATTAGGTTCCTCTGGACAACTACATTGGCGTTAGGAGATGGGAATGAAGACATGGGCATTTCTTAGCAATTTTTATGGTCTCAAATTGTGCTAGGAAATGTGTAATATCAGGGCTTTTTCATCCATAAAACCCGATTAATTCCATCATCTACACAGATTTAGATGTAAACTATTTAGCCCTATGTTACAGTTAGTGCATTGAGTATTGACAAATGGCAACTGAATGAGTAGGCTTTCAGCAATGGGAAATTTGAACTATTCTATGGCTTGGTGCATATGGCTCACATGAGGTTCTCTACCAAGTATTTACCTTTGTGCAATTTAGTGCTAACCCTTGTATGTACGCTAAGTGCTAGGGTTTATGTATTGGCTCATTACAGCGTCTAAGAACTAAGAAGTAATTGACTTTGTTCAATGGCGAGACATTTAATTTGGAATTTTGTTGGGTTCTCCCACTTTTTGGGCTGAAGGGCAATGGTGGTACTATCCTGACCCAGCAAGACATGGGCAGCATCCTATTAGGATTGTGCGCTCCTAGACACCCTCAAAAGTTCCGGGAGATATAGGCTTTTCTGTACAGTTTTAGGGTCTCAGATAATCCCACCGAACAGCACTAGGTTAGGCCTATTAGGGGAATTTCTCCCCTTGAGTTGAAAAATATAATCAACACACTTGGATTCATGGATAAACTCCTGTGCAGTTGTTAGTGCTAGTTTGCTACCGACCAAAAGCGTAGGTTATAAACAATCTAAACTTTGATCTGTGCTGTAACATTGTGCTAAGGCTTTCATCCTGTGACTCACTGCAAAAGTAATCCTTATCTGTGTCTATTATAAGTTTATAACATATATACTTGATTTATTGTCTAATCAAGTAAGGAGAGCAGTATGACTCTTGAACTCCGTTTCATGGTCTGTCTATTTTGTTATCTGATTCCATTCTTTTTAACTGATTGACTGACTATTCCTCCCTCTTAACTGTGTATCAGTTTCTGAGCGTATGGTTGGAGAACTTGAACTGGAAGCTATCCAAGAAGGTCGCTATCTTGCAGATTTCAGACATGCATGTGTTGGCTATTCAATGTACTTAGATGACAAGGAAACTCCCTACGGGGATACGAGATAAGGCACGCGTGCGCAGCTACCTGTTTGTACTGGAGTCGAGGTAATATCTGCTTAACCATGTAATTCCTATGCATTTATGATGCATTCACAAGTCAGGACCATGTCAGAGTGACATGATGGATAAGGAAGCAGTTAGGCACAATGGTGTCTTTGATGTTGTTAAGTGTGAACAGTATCCAACGATAGCTGATGTACCAGAGATGATTGTGATTACTCAGGATCTGATGAGAAAATTGAGCTTTAGTTATGTTGAATGTCAGAATGGTGGGATGGATATTCATGTCAATTTGTTATCTTCATAAATTATATGTTTATTACAATAATCATGCAAGCTTTTCTTTTCTCGACCACAGTACAAACAAATGCGGTCATTCTATTCTGAAATTTGTTCTTGATTTTCCTCCAGATTTATTCTGCACCGACTGTTCAACCTGCACAGCTAGTGTTTTGTAGCTACAAGTTAAACTGTGTTTTATGATCATTCACATGTCTATTTTGCTAACAAAGAATATCTTTTCCCCTTTTCCAGCTATTGGCAGATAGAAAAGTCCCAACAAATGTTAAGAAAGAAGGTAAGAAAACATTTTCTTCTGTTATTTGATTAGTGTGTGTGCTGGGCTCCTAGCAACTGCAAAGCTAACACAATATGCTCGAAAAGTTCGAATGTTTGGTCATGGACAGAGGTGCTTAATGTGTCACACTTGCTTATTCAAATATATTAGTTTCTAGTTGATCAATCTACCGTCGCGTGCATTTTACCTGAAATACACTGTCAATGCTATTCAATTTTTAGTTAGAATGGCATCCTGATTTATGATGCATTTGCAGTAGGTATGAAACCTTAAGAGATCAGCCACTAAACTGTAAAATATATACATAATGTTGCCTTCTTGAAAATCCTTGTTCTTTTTATTGCACCTGCGTGGAGAAATCACCGATATTTTGACGAAAAATAGAATTTATCCAATAGTCAACTAATACATGGAAAAAATGTGTCAACAACGACAACAACAACAAATTCTTTAAGTCCCAAACAAGTTAGGGTAGGCTAGAGTTGAAACCCAGCAGAAACAATCAAGGTTCATGCACGTGAATAGCTGTTTTCCAAGCACTCCTATCTAAGGCTAAGTCTTTGGGTATATTCCATCCTTTCAAGTTTCCTTTTATTGCCTCTACCCAAGTCAACTTCGGTCTTCCTCTGCCTCTCTTCACGTTACTATCCTGGCTTAGGATTCCACTACGCACCGATGCCTCTGGAGGTCTTCGTTGGACATGTCTAAACCATCTCAACCGGTGTTGGACAAGCTTTTCTTCAATTGATGCTACCCCTAATCTATCACGTATATCATCGTTCCGAACTCGATCCCTTTTTGTATGACCGTAAATCCAATGCAACATACGTATTTCCGTGACACTTATCTGTTGAACATGTCGTCTTTTCGTAGGCCAACATTCTGCACCATACAACATAGCAGGTCTAATCGTCATCATATAAAACTTGCCTTTTAGCTTCTGTGGTACCCTTTTGTCACATAGGACACCAGATGCTTGGCGCCACTTCATCCACCCTGTTTTGATTCTATAGCTAACATCTTCATCAATATCCCCGTCTCTCTGTAGCATTGATCCTAAATATCAAAAGGTATCCTTCCTAGGCACTACTTGACCTTCCAAACTAATATCTTCCTCCTCCCGAGTAGTAGTGCCGAAGTCACATCTCATATACTCAGTTTTAGTTCTACTGTGTCTAAAACCTTTGGACTCCAAAGTCTCCCGCCATAACTCCAGTTTCTAATTCACTCATGTCCGGCTTTCATCAACTAGCACTACATCGTCCGCGAAAAGCATACACGAAGGGATGTCCCCTTGTATGTCCCTTGTGACCTCATCCATTACTAAGGCAAACAGATAAGGGCTTAAAGCTGACCCTTGATGTAGTCCTATCCTAATCGGGAAGTCATCTGTGTCTCCATCACTTATTCGAACACTAGTCACAACATTGTTGTACATGTCCTTAATGAGCCTGACGTACTTCGGTGAGACTTTATGTTTGTCCAAAGCCCACCACATAACATTCCTTGGTATTTTATCATAAGCCTTCTCCATGTCAATAAAAACCATGTGTAGGTCCTTCTTCTTCTCCCTATACCGCTCCATAACTTGTCTTATTAAGAAAATAGCTTTCATGGTTGACCTTCCGGGCATGAAACCAAATCGGTTCATAGAGACCCGCGTTATTGCTCTCAAGCGATGCTCGATAACGCTCTCACATAGCTTCATAGTATGGCTCATCAACTTAATTCCCCGGTAATTAGTACAACTTTGAATATCCCCTTTATTCTCGTAGATCGGTACTAATATACTTCTCCTTCACTCGTCAGGCATCTTGTTCGATCGAAAAATATGGTTGAACAGCTTGGTTAGCCATACTATATCTATGTCCCCGAGGCATCTCCACACCTTGATTGGGATACCATCCGGTCCCATCGCTTTACCTCCTTTCATTTTTTTCAACGCCTCTCTGACCTCAGATTCTTGGATTCTCCGCACAAAACGTCTATTGGTGTCATCAAAAGAGTCATCCAACTAAAAGGTTGTGTCCGTATTCTCACCATTGAACAATTTGTCAAAATACTCTTGCCATATCTCATCCTCCTTCACTAAGAGATGCTCCCTTTCATCCTTAATGCACTTAACTTGGTTGAAGTCCCTTGTCTTTCTCTCACGAACCCTAGCCATCCTATAAATATCCTTCTCTCCTTCCTTCGTACTCAAATGTTGGTAAAGATTCTCGTACGCTCCCTTTGCCACACTTATAGCTCGTTTTGCAGTCTTCTTTGCCACCTTGTACTTCTATATGTTGTCCACACTCCTGTCATGGTACAAGCGTCTATAGCATTCTTTCTTCTCCTTAATAGCCCGTTGGACTTCCTCGTTCCACCACCAAGTATCTTTAGCCTCGCCTCCACTTTCTTTGGTTACTCCACACACCTCTGATGCCACCTTCCGAATGTTGGCTGCCATCTTCTCCCACATGTTGTTTATGTCATCTTTTTTCTTCCAAGAGCCATTTTTTATAACCCTTTCCCTGAATACCTCTGACGTCTTCCCTTTCAGTTTCCACCACTTTGTTCTTTTAATCTTTTAGCTTGTTTATCCCTACGGGCACGCACCTGAAAACAAAAGTCTGCCACCAAAAGCTTATGTTGAGAAACAACACACTCCCCTGGTATCACCTTGCAACCCAAGCATGCCCGTTTGTCCTTTCTTCTTGCGAGGACAAAGCCAATCTGGCTAGAGTGTTGTCCGCTACTGAAGGTCACTCGATAAGATTCTCTCTTTCTAAAGAAAGTGTTGGCTATCATCAGGTCAAAAGCTACCGCGAAGTCCAGAACTTCCTCCCCCTCCTGATTCCTACTACCATACTCAAAACCTCCATGAACTGCCTCGAAACCTGCGCTTGTAGTACCTACATGCCCATTAAGATCTCCTCCAATAAAAAGCTTCTCACTACTAGGTACAGCTCTAATCAGGCCATCTAAGTCTTTCCAGAACTGTCTCTTAGCACTCTCGTCGAGGCCTACTTGGGGGCATACGCACTGATTACGTTCAACACCATATCACTAACGACAAGCTTGACTAAGATAATCCTATTTCCTTGCCTTCTCACTCCCACCACACCATTCTTGAGGCTCTTATCAATCAAAACTCCTACTCCATTTCTATTCGCGACTGTCCCTGTGTACCAAAGCTTGAAACCTGTATTATCCACCTCCTTCGCCACGCATAATATATTTACACGTCTTCTAGTCGCGGTATCAACTAACTTGATCAGTGCTTAGTAGTATTTGATTAGTTCTTAGTAGTATCTAAACTTAATTCCTCACATGTTTTTGCCACTATACCCATTGCCAGTTTTTATGGGCTTATTTTCTGTGCAATCTAGGATTAGAGAAACTTGGTCCTAAAACTACATGCTTCATTGGTGAAACTGTGAAAAATATCTGATTACCATGTATCTTGTCTATGTCTCCTGTGTGCTTTAAGCATTACTTTTGCTGTTTTGCGTTGAAACATGCTTCTTTCTTGCATTATTTTGTAATTATCTGCCTGCAGGATTCACATTGTTTCTGTTCTCAAAACTTCTACTCATCTTTATAATTCCACAGCTCCAAAACCACGTCATTACAAACCAGGGCAACCAGGGCATGCGGGAGATGATTTCTTAACTAAGTGAGTTGGTATTTGGTTTATGTATGAATTTGTAGGTTCTGAAATTCGTATTAGCATTTCAACAACTTTGTCTTTGAACCTGCAGATTTCAGAGGAATGCAGGACTTGTGGCAAATGGTGTGGCTAAGAACCTGAATAAAGTTGGGACCTACATCAAAGACACCGTCGGTGATATGATGCAGCCTTACCGCAAGCGTCCCAAATAAACCTTAGACCTGTCTCTCCCTAAAGACCTAAATCCTGTATGGGAGTAAACATTAGGTGTCCGGGGAAAGTTGGATCAAGCACTTCCCCCATACACCCGCACAGCAGTAGCTTTCTGTTGGTTTCTGAAGCTCTAGAAAATTGAGAGAAAAGGAAAAATAGCCAATTGGAACATGTTATCCACTAACTGTTGGGGCTTTGATTTCGCGTTTCTTCGTAGCTCCACTGCCTCGCCCCATTTGGGGGCGATTGTTGTTTCACTAGGTCGGTCCCTCCTCCAGTAATGTACAGGATGTCATGTAATAAAACAGCCCCGCGCCCGTCCCTCTTTAGAATAATAGCGTAGTGCCATCGAGAGTTCCAGCGATGTATTTTCCTGGAGCATCGCAGTGTCCGGGTACGCAGAGGATGTTCGAACTGACTCATATGTCGTTATTTCTCTGAACTCTTCATCAGATGATAATGGACCTTGACCTTCTGGCGTGCTTTTTTTATATTATTTTTGCCTTTGCATTTTGCTACGCTGATTGTATGTTGTACTAACTTGCACGCATGTATGTGCTAATTTTTCCTGGTCATGCCAAGACCAAATTAGCTCTGAATAGAAACATGCAAAGCTACTCAAAGTCAGCTCAGCTTACATAATAAAAAGAGTCCACTGCCGTTAGTTTGCACATTGCGCTTCTGCTGTCTCTAATAAATCTCAGCTACACCATGACCACCAACAAAGCGACCCAGCCCTAGGGGTGCATCATCAATTCATCCATAGATGTACCCCCTGACTCCGTTCATGGAGACCACCTACATGACTAAAATAATTTTTTTACCTCAAATTAGGAAAGAAGAAACTTTATGATCCACATTAGATACAGCCTCATATATTGGTTTTGAACCACCTATTTCTTTGAGATCCTCACCTCAAAACCTTAGTCACCCTGGTGTACATATTATAGTCATTACCGGTCTACGGTCCAAAGAGTGAAAGCACATTAAAAGAAAAATGAAGACATGTGTGCCATTTTAAATATCCAATAAAATTTCGATAACTGGTTCTTTTCATCCAGTTTACATTATATCGCAATTGTACACGTAATATATAATATAGTTACATTTACATATAAAAACTCTAACCCCGTGGGTCTCTGGGTTCGGGGGTCTAACGTGGGTCTCCATCGTGGCGTACACACTTGTTCGCATCTTTCACTATCTATCGCTCCATCGTTATCCAGACGTTACACGTGAAGAAAGCCCTCGCCGCCGGCTGAAACTTACACCATCGTTTAACCCCCCAAATCCCCGCTAATCTATCAGCTTCTCTGTGACCGCGACCACGACCGCTCTCGCCGATCACGCTTTCGCGAACCGCCGATCCTCTTTCGCGACCGCGCTCGCCGATACCCATGGCTCGGAGAAAGATTACGGTCCTGTTCGGTTGGCTGAAAAAATGACTGATGCTCATTTGTTCGCTAAAACTATACGGCTGATCAGTTCGAGCAGCTACATTTCTTGTCTAGCTATCAATTTAGCCCACGAAAGCTGCCACAGCCGGCCCAGCCCACGGACGGTATAACCCTAGCCCCTTCCGCTTGCCGCGTCCACATCCCAGTCGGCCACGCCCCAGCCGCACCGCACGCCGCCGCTGCTCGCGCCTCGCACGCTCTCCTCTCCCGGCAGTAGCTCTATCGCCCCACTGCTGCACCTGCACGGATCCTGCCGTCCGCATCCTCCTCCGGTCCTCTGAAGGTGAGCCCAAATACCCAGCCATGGTTCAGAAGGGTTGAATTCTGTTTACGTAGCAGTGAACCAGGAGATCTCGAGCTCTGTTTGGTGGGAAGGGTCACATGTTCTAGTAGCGAATTTGCTCCGTGCCCATGGTCAGGACTTAGGATTGTGTTGGTGTCGGGCACTGTATTGCCTTACTCTTTTGAACTGGTGACAATGTTAAGTTTAGCATTTTACAGGTCCCGTTTAGCATATTTTTTGGTGGAAACACTTGGCATTGATTTCTCTCTTGATTATTAGTACTGCGAAGCGAAAATGCACATTTGAGTTAGTTATGGTCGCCTTTATGTATGCATTCCACCACCTTTTCTGTTTTTAACAATTAGTTTTCTAAATTCTGGCCTGTTGATTAAGTAGATGTTTCCTGTAATTGGTGCCTGCATTTGAGTTTCCTACCATGTTGCTATGCACTCCAGAGATTGTATTTACTGTGCAGAAGAGAGTTTTGTTCTCAGCCATTTCATTCTTGTATAATAAAGATTTATCGGTACTTTCAAATAGCTGTGATGTCAAGTATAACCAATGCCAAGCAAGCATAATAACACAGTAGAATTTTCAATTTTTAGCCATAGGATTGCAAATCGCAGTCTTTTTTTTTGTTTATTATGTTTTGGAAAATATAATCTTAATAAACATTAGCACTGGGTATTTGTCACGCTAGGGGCTAGGCAGGCGCTAAGCCACTGATTAACGCCTAGGGTGCCTAAACGTAGATTAAACGCGATTAAACGTTTACACACTAACTACATTTCAGGAGATTTTAGTTGCATAAATGTGAAAGAATAAATAGAAAAAGAAGAACAATACCATAACAGCCAACTCGGCCCAGTAAGGGAGGAAGCTCACTAGCCCACTAAACATTAGAACACCGAACGATGCCCTACCAGGCTGCCATCACCCTAGGAATCCTCGCTCTCACGAGACCGCGCCACTGCTCCGCTGCTCCTCTGCCTGCGCGCCGCCGCTCCTCTGCTCTCCTCTGCCTGCGCACCGCCGCTCCTCGACTTGTGCGTCCCTGTCCGTAGCTCTACCTCTTCACCTGTGCGAAATCGAGCGACTTGGACACCACGAGGTAGGCACAGGTGGAATCGCAGTGCCACAAACCATTTTGCCATCCTAATCTTGTCTCTTATCTTCCTTTCTTCACCATCCATGAGTTCTGACAGTTCACGCGACATTTGATTGGACGCCTAGGGCCTAGGCGATGCGTTAGGCCTCCGTTTAATTGGACGCCTAGGGCCTAGGCGACGCGTTAGGCCTCCGCCTAGTGCTTAAGCGCGCCTAAACGAGCGTTTAACTACGTTTTTTTAACACTGTTTTTAACCGGCTCCCAATTGAGTAACTGATATTTTATTGCATGCTCTGAACTTCATGATGTCTTACTGATTGTGCTCATTGTCTGGACTTGTTTATGTAATGTTTCATTCATCTTATCATCATGCAGTGTTGTTGAGATAGACTGAGACTTCTTTCTTTGGGTTCTTGATCTCCTGATATGTCAAGCTGTATAGTAGGATCATGTTATTTTGCTCATCTACAATCATATCAAACTACTAATTGTTGTCATGGTCCTACTACACCAGTCATGTTTGCTCTGAACTATCCATTATCTAGTTTTGTGGACCAATCTGATGCGCTTTTTGAGAGAAACTACTCATAACTCTCCTTTAGACGTTTAGAGAGTGGAGTTCTAGAGGTCCTGTTTGTTTGTGAGTCAGGAACTACACATCTAGTACCTGCAAGTCCACGGCCAGTTTATTCTCTGTTCCCTCTCTTGTATTCCCTTCCTACCCCCTCTCCTGTAGTCAAATTGTCTGGTCACTTGGTCTGATTGTGGAGGGGGAGCCAGCAGCTACAGCAGGTTGCCTGGCTGCTGGAGTGTTAGGCTTATTGGAAATCTAGAAAAGATGAGCAAAATGGCACAATGCAAGAATGAAGGGCAATTTTAATGCTAATGCTATGTTGCTACTGCTTTTAATATGCCTTATTATTTATTTATAAAAAACTTTGTGTGTGAAAATGCAGTATCCATATCCTCCCTATACCATTACATGTATATTTATCCTTGATGCATAGTAGTTTATAGTTTATACATAGGATCCAGGAGCCTGTACTTTATCTATGTGTGCAACATTGATTGTTTTGCATGTCTCAGTTTATGATGCTATTGATCTTTTGTAGCTTTTGTATCGTAATGTGTAACTATTAGAAGTTGTATGCATTTATGTTATTGTGATTATTTTGACAGGATTTTGTTGTTTTGGTAGACTAATTCTCCAAGAAAGATGAGCTTGATATCCCAGAACGCGGTCCAGAAGCGCCGCCTCAGGAAAAGTGAAGCTGATGATGGCAATGATGAGGACATTGGCTCACCGAGCTCCATAGATGCAGAGGTTGGGAAGGAAGCAAAGTTGAAGAATCACAATAAGGAAAGGAAGAAGAAAAGGACTAAGGTGCTGGAGTCCCAGCAGAGCAAAGAGGAAGAGGAGATGAGGCAGCTGGAGAGCTCATTGTTTGGTTCCCTTTATGCACCACTGGAGTTTGGCACTGAGGTAGGGGCTGCAGTAGTAGCTCCTGACCGGGATGCGCCTTTGTTTTTCACAGATAGGTCCGCTGGTGGTGGTGTGGATCATCCTATATATGAGGAGGATATGGCCCATGAGGATGAGGACGACGTGGTGCGTATCAAGGGGAGGAAGCCTGTATGGGTGGATGAGGAGGAAGAAAGGACAGAAGTGGACATCGTGAAGGTTTCAAGGTTGAGGAAGCTAAGAAAAGAGGAAGATGATCATTTGATTTCAGGGAAAGAGTATGAGGCCAGGCTCCGTGGTCAGCATGCCAAATTGAACCCCTTCACTGGCTGGGCTGATATGGACCGGAAAACTTCTCTTCCTGTCGCGTCAGATGGTGAGTCCGATGATGAAGGTTGTGTCAATGATATCCTTCAGAATAACGATGAGCTTGTTGTCAAGGATACTGTCAGGCTCTTACCTGGGATGTTAGAGTTCTCAAGGCTCGTTGATGCCAATATCCAGGATCCATCAAGTGGTCCTATCAATTCAGTGCAGTTTCATAGGAATGGGCAACTGATGCTTGCTGCAGGTTTGGACAAGCATCTAAGGTTTTTCCAGATTGATGGAAAGAGAAACCCCAAGATCCAGAGCATATTTATTGGGGACTGTCCAGTACACAAGGCCTCATTTCTACCTGATGGCTCTGAGGTGATCCTATCAGGCAGGCGAAAGTTCTTCTACTCATTTGACCTGGTGAATGCTGCTGTTAGCAAGATTGGACCTTTGACGGGGCGTGAGGAGAAAAGCCTGGAGAGCTTTGAGATATCACCTGATTCGAGAACCATTGCTTTTGTCGGTAACGAAGGGTACATCCTTCTTATTTCTGCCAAGACAAAGCAGCTCATTGGAACCCTCAAGATGAACGGAACCGTGCGTTCACTGGCTTTTTATGGATGGTGGAAACCAGCTGCTGAGCAGCGTGGAGATGGCCATGTTTACCACTGGGATCTCGGAACAAGGAAGTGCATCCACAAGGCTTTTGACGACGGTTCCCTGGCTGGCATTTCGCTTTGCACCTCGCAGGACAGCTCTTTGTTTGCCACAGGTTCTACCAGTGGCATCGTGAATGTGTACAAGAGGGATGATTTTCTTGGTGGGAAGAGGAAGCCACTGAAGACGATCGAAAACCTGACCACTGACATCGGCGAAATGAAATTCAACCATGATGCCCAGATCTTGGCAATCAGCTCAAGGAAAGAGAGGAATGGGATGAGGCTCGTGCACGTCCCGTCCTTCAGTGTGTTCCAGAACTGGCCAGGGCCTCGGTTCAGCCTTCACTATCCACGGTGCCTGGATTTCAGCCCTGGCAGCGGGTTCTTGTCTGTCGGACACGCGGGTGGAAAGGTCCTGCTATACAAGCTTCACCACTATAAAAACGCATGAGGCTAGGATGGTTACTTTGCAAAACCCAGTTTTGACATTATATTTGTACTCTTGAACACTCCATGAATCAAGTGTATGCTGATTCATTCCAGTCATTGCGCTTTACGCTTTGCTGCCACTGGTTTCAATGCTTGATACAAGCTGGCAATCTCCTACTTCTCTTTTTTAGTCGTATGCAGTTTGTTATTCTGCTATTGCTTTATGGTGGTTGTTGATTGCGGAATTTCAGTTTCCTGCTACTGGGCTTATGGGAGTAATCCTGGAGTCTGGAGCCATCTATTATGTGAGTAATATACAGTGGTATGTTCATTGCATTCTGAATCTGAATCCTTTGGATTGGATGTACACTATGCAAGCATCCCCTTTTGTCTTCCGAGCTGGTGGTGAACTGTCGCCCAGGTTGGAAATGTGGCGCTTGTGATTTGTGAAGCACTAGTTCTGCATCGTGAGCCAAGCCGGCCAGTGACGTGACGGTGGGTCCGGACCCAAAAAGCTGCATCCATGCAGCAGCGAAAGCGGCCGCTGATGGACCGAGGCATCGACCACAAGCAGCTGACCCGATGCCGATGCACAGTGGCGGATGTAGGACAAAATTCTAAGAGCCTGAACAAGCTGTTGTGTTGGGCGCTGGTCGCTGACTACTATCGTGCTGCGCTGCTGCTCGCTGGTGCGGTCGTTGTGCTGCGTTGCTGCTCCATAGGCGCGGCCGCGGTAGGGGGGCTCGAGCCCCCCAGCCCCGGTGGCAGATCCGCCACTGCCGGTGCAAGAGCTCTCGATCGGGCCATCGTCCCCGATCAATGCGCAAGTGCACGTCTACTAACCTAACAAACTTTTTGTGCCTTGGTAGCTTATATGAAGATGCACGTTACAGACTAGTGTAAGCACTCTGAATGGATGGAGGTTGAGCAAGGCAGGCTCTATTTATCCATGCATGATTCCGCAAATTAAAGGGCTGTTTTTTTTTTTTTGGAGCAAATTAAAGGGCTGATCTGTAGGGTAGGGCAAAACGTTTTCCGCCAGTGCCACATGCATCAGCTGTTGCTGCTAGTGATAGATGGGCTCATGGGCCAGGTTAGCAGATGCATGTGATGTGGTGTGGCACCGCAACCACCCCATCGATTCTATATACAGTAGCTTGCTCAAGGTGAAACATGATTTTCTCCGATCCTTCATTATTAAAGATTGATCATAAGTCAGATTCTGGGAAGACAAATGGTTAGGCAATGATAGTTTGATGAACCAGTACCCTGGTTTATACAACATTGTTAGACCAAAGTTTCTCATAATTTCAGGAGCTCTGAGCTCCTATCCACCTATTTTTTCCTGGAGACGAGATCTAATAGGTTCTAAATTAGTGGACTCATCTTTTAGCACGCCTAGCCAATTTTTCGTTGTTACAAGGTCATGATGATTTCAACTGGTCTTTGCATCTGAATGGGCAATTCTCGGTGAAATCGCATTACAAAGCAATCATACAAAACCTAGTTCCAAATCTAAATAGACGGTTATGGAAACTAAAAGTGCTTCTTAAGCTAAATATTTTTATGTGGTATCTTAGGAGGGGTAGTGTTAACAAAGGATAATTTAATTAAGCGTAATTGGCATGGAAGCAAAACTTGTTGCTTTTGTCACGAAGAGGAGACGATTCAACACTTTTTCTTCGACTGCCGTTTCGCGCGATTTATTTGGAGTTTTCCTCAAATTGCCTTCAACCTAACAAAACCCCAAAGTGTGGCACATATGTTTGGTAGCTGCCTAAATGGAGTCACAAAACATTTGAGATCTTTATTTTTTCTTGGAGCAGCAGTGACTTGCTGGTCTATTAGGTTACACGGGAATGACTTGGTTTTTGAAAAGAAAAACTTAATTCTCCTTTGCAGGTTATCTATGCAATCTCCCACAGGCTCCTTTCGTGGGCTATCCTTCAGAAGCCGGAGCTCTAGGATATAGTTATGGCGGTATCGCGACTTTTGGAGCAAGTGGCGAAGGATACCTTTATCCGAGCATATGGATGGCGATCTAGTCGGATTGAATGTCACTAGAGTTTGCTCGGTCTTTTTTCTTTATTTAGTTGTGTGCTATCCTTTAGGCAGAGGCTGGGAACATTTCGTCCCAAAGCCGTGTATCAACTCAATGTACTGCTTCTGGGATGCAATAAAATCTTCCGTTTCCAAAAAAATATGCAGTAGCTAGCTTTTGCACAGAACCTGAATCTGTGTAGCACCTCTTTTTTGACTGTGTAGGGTCTATCTTTCTGAAGTTTGTGATTGAAATTTAGGAAATGATTTCTTGTCAATTGGGCAGATGTGGCTAAGTAGCAATAAGTTTTAGTCTGCAGTTCCTTTTGTACTGCAGCCCGGTGGGGACTTTGGAAGCTAAGAAACAGTCTTTGTTTTCAAGGGTTCCCATGGGTGGATTTGAGGCTACTGCTTTTGAGAACTGCAGCTATGCTTTAAACTTGGGTTATTTTGTGTCCCCAAGAGAAGAGACAGGAGTTCTCTGCGAGATTGATGAAACTGAAAGATCTTGCCACAAGACCGACAAGACTCTCTGGATGAATCAAGTAAATGATAAGTCGGATAACCCCATGAAGAAGCTCTCTGGAGACCTCGAGGATGGCGCTCATAGTTGTGGGAGATCTTGGTTTAGCATATTAAGCCTGGGAGATGTGAGTTTTGAAGTCTGGTTGGTTTTTTGCTAGAGAGCTTGAGTGGTTGTGAAGTTTCAATAGTTCTATTTTTGGTTATCGCCTTAAAACTATATGGACGGATGAATCCCACCTGAATGTTGTAAACATTTGCTGGTGTCTTTGCTAATGCTAAGATAGGGGCATCGCCCTATAATTCTAAAAATATACATTAGCTAGCAAAACAAACCACCAGAAACGTGGTTCCTGTAGGTCTTCTTTCCAATAAGACAAATGTGCCGGTGCTTCTTCCCTTTTTATTTTTATTTCAAGAAAAATGGTGGCAGTGCATCTTCTTTTATTTTGAGAAAAATATCAGCGTGTCTTCCTTTTTAGCCTATCCGTGTTTGCTCTAGGCCTTTCATGGCGAATGTGGTTTTTTTTGCCCTTAGGGGCATATGCCCTCTTGTTGTGCACCCTCATATGTGCACTAAGATGCGTGCACAGCAACAGAGACAATATAATGTCATGCGTGTACTGGGAGATGAGAGAATAGTGGGCTCATACTGTTAGGATCTGCTATGTCCAAGTCGCTGTTCATTTATCGAGTTGTCCGAGTCCCTTTTCCTGTATTTTAAGCTCAAACATATGCCCTCCTAAACCAATGCTTAGTAATTAGTATGCAGATTCCTAGCAAAAGAAAATGCATGCACATGCAATTTGTCACTCTCAAAAGACAGAATTAGCTAAGAAGTTGGAGCTCTTACTCATACTTAGAATCCCACTATGTGCAAAGAACAAAATAAAAAGAGCTGAAAGTAGAAGATTTCCTTCTTAGAAACTAATTCACTGCTGATAATGCACAGTCAGCATCATAGTGGGTCTTTGTTATGTTTATTAAAACACCTCTAAAGGCTTACTCACATTACAAATATTTTGTCAATAACAATTTTTTTTGTGCTGATTCTTGAATGGTTATAACAAAATACTTGGAATCACGGCAATAGAGCAATCTACACAAAATGTTTTAGGTGGTCAAAAACCATCTCATCAAACCAAATCTACGAACAGACTCTTAATTATGATTTATTTGCTGGCTTGCTTCTAGACTCAGTAGAATGTAAAGAACACTACTCTAAATTCTTTTTTAAGAAAGGGATTGAACTGCAAGCTAACCAACAATTTTCTAAAACCAGAAAAAAAATTGAGCATGGCATTACGTATATTCATATAAGTAGAGAACCAACTAATTCTTTAGTACCACTTACTGCTTGCTATACACGCTATCGTCGTTGTCGTCGTCGTCATGTCATGGGGTACGAGCAATTTGATTCCAAAATGGAAAAACATTGAGCTAGCAAAAAAGAACATATTTAGACCTTTTAGATAGTCACAGGGATCTCAGGAAGACACAAAGTACTATCTCTCACTGATATGAACTACACTTCTCCCAAGCTATTTAGCCTTTGCCATAGCCTTCAACAAAAGTTCACTTGTCTATTCTGGCTAATCGCTCTGGGTCAATCTTGAAGCCGCAGGGTAGATGATAATAGTTCAGAACAAAACACATTTGCTACCTAAATATTTGGCATATTGTTCGCCATGTTAAGATATACTCCTAGCGAATACCTTGTATATTTCTTGACTTAAGAGGTGTGAGACAAGGGGAGCGATTATCTGACCACGAGTCTTGTTAGCCTCAGTCAGCTTCTTGTAAAATGTAACCTTTTTAGTCACAAAGTTTCTTTTAACTCCCGGAGTAGTCTGATGAATCCAGCGTGCGTTTGACCTCACTGCGAGCCTTAGCGATAGTGTTGAAAAGGTCGATAAGCTTCTTATTTTTTGATATCAATGGCATAGCCCTGATTGTTGTATTTGTCATTCAGTTCATAGCAAGCTTTTTCCTAAAATCAAAAGGAAATATAATTGCAATTAACATTATTCTTTTATATTCTTTTACCTGTCAGCGAGTTCATAGCGCACTTATTGCTATTACTTATTACAACTTCGATGATATGGCGTGGGTGACGAGGAGTACGCAAGGGAGAGGGGAACAATTAAGAATTAGAACGCAAGCGGTAGTGAGGCAAAGAACAGCGGGTTCGTCGCCGGTGGCCACGGCTGAATCGCCGGTAGTCACCGTCGAACGTAAAACCTGCCCACCTTGGGAGGACTATTTCCTTAAATAGAAACTTATTAGACACACTAAGGTGCCCTTATAGATTAGGTGCACATTACTAACAATAGTAAGTCAAGAGCTGAGCCAGATGGATGGCGTGGCCGCCTGCTATATTGACGTCTAGTGAAAGAGTCCACAACATTAGAAGTAAATGGTAAACTTCCTTTTCTTAGCAATGTACTTACCATATCCATTGGGTACTTGTCCTTTCTCTTAATAAATTATGACTAGCTTCTAACATGGACATTCCTACTGGTACACATCCATTATATGTGCACCATAGTGAAAAATGAGCTCACCAATCATAAAAAAAAGCCTGTACGCAAAATAATTGTGGAAAGCTGAACACTAACATTTAGTAAAGTTGATCAACCTATTTAACACTAACTTGCTCCAATAAAAGGACTAACTTCCTCCCGAATACCATCTACTTGTGAAATACCACAAAATAAATGAGCCCTCCAATGAAGGGAACTATGCACAACTATATAATCTAGCACCACTCCAATAGAGGAACTACGATTATATAACAACACAGCTCTATAATCTAGCACCACACCAATGGACTACGATCATACAACGACACAACTCTATAACCTTGCACCACTCCAATGAAGCGACTACAATCATACGACAACACAGCTCTATAACCTTAGTGTTGTTCTTGACCGATGTCTTTGAACACGGTGACCACTGAACTATTGGAACTGTGAAGGAAGTAGCGAAGATAGAGCAAAAGGAGAATAACGAAGGTAAGTGGGATCACATGGAATCATTGTTCATCCTCTTTTACATTGTTGCTTTGGGACACTATTTATAGGCCTTACCCTTATTACAAAAGACCACCGTGCCCCTATACCTAACCTATATTCCAAGTATATTCTTCCTGGACTGGGGCACCATGGCCAGACCCTTGTAACAATCCAAAAAAGAAAGGCTTTCAACCACCCCGACAAACGGGACCCTGGAGCTGGTTTTACCAAAAAGCGTCTTCGCTAGCTTCCTCCGCGTAGGAGAGGAGGGCTCTGCCTTCTCGCTTCCTCCTTCGCCAATTTTTGCTCTCGCCTTCTTCCGTTGTGCGAGAGAGAGAGGCCCCCTCTCTCTTTGTTGTCAGCCCCTTCGCCGCCCATTTGTTGCTCGCCTGAGGAAGCTTAGCGAAGACCTACGACTAACATTAGGCTGATGTGCGGACATTGCAAAAAGTGCGGCGTTAGACAAGCACTCGAACGGCTCGGGGCGAGGAGGAGAGAGCACAATGATGGGTGCTTCTCCCAACACCTAGCACCAAAATTCCCTGGTTGTTTGGTTACAACTAGAAGCTACAAGCAAAAACCCAAGTGGCCACGTCAATGTGTCTGCTATCTTATGGCTCCCCCTCCGATGAATGAGGGTGTGCCGTACGCAACAGAGTGGATCTAGAATAATAATTGGGAATGGAATAGGGAAGGAAAAGAGAGAGATCATACTGATTGAAGAGCCGTCGGCTGTGGTAGGGT